TTATCTGTGGCCACTAGAGGTTTGTCCAAGGGCCCATTCTGTCTCGTATTTCTGTTTCCTCCAGCTTGGTTCAGCCAGGTGAGGCCAGCTTTCCTTGTGTGGCATCCTATGGCTGTGCCAATGTTCAGCCAGTATTGCCAAGAGAGCCAAAAGGATCAGTCCTGCCACGCCCATGCGGGTCAGATTCCCCACTGTGTAATCTTGGTTCATGGAGTCTAGAGACGTAATTCAAAGAGATAAATGATTGTTGGCCATGTTCCATCCCAGCCCAAACCCAGAGCCCTGACATGGGAGCTCATTTCCCTATTTGCTTCCCAAAATGTGTTTCCACTAGACCTCCTCCTCAATGAGCTCATGCGTTCACTAGCCCTGTACTTATCAGTCTGCCAGCCAGTGTCCAAGGACAAGGAACTGTGCTTCCCAGGGGAGTCCCATAAACACGAAGGACGTGATTATGGGGAGGTTGGGTGTTTTCCCACGCTCTACTCGCTTGGTGATTTCACTGAATGTCTCATAATACCTCTGCAACACCTCCATATAGCCAGAACCTTGAATTCCCTTTTCCACCTTCACCCCACAGAACAATACATGAAATCCAACATCTGGATTCCAATTTCAGGTTCATCAACAGGGACAGTTCATTATATGAGCAATTTTAAAACGATAAATCTTCCATATCAAACCCAGAAGGCATTTTTGAATTATTTAGTGTGATGCTTGCTATTTTAGAAAACAAACTCCAAATAGCTTTGGCTTCATACATGACAAAGGATATAGCACTATTGGTACCTGGGAAGTATGTAGGGGAAATTCCAGGTAAATTTAGGTAAAATTTTATCTCCGCTATTGTGTGACTGTTTGCTAGACATTGCTTTTCTCTGAACCTGTTTTTTTCTTTCTTTATTTGTTATACGGATTGCATGAGCCTGTGCTATTCCCAAGTATGTAATATAATCCAGTGAAATTACAATGCTCAGAAACCTTAGCAACTTCCTCCTGTTAAAATATAAAAATCAATTCCAAATGGATTAGAGATCTAATTGAGAAATGCAAAATATTTCAAGTTGGGAAGATGATATAGAAAAGCATCATCTTGACACTGGGATAGGAGATGATTTCTAAAACAAGATATAGTAACTATGCTAAAGGAAAAAATTAATCAATTCAACCAAATT